AAAAAAAAAAAAAAAAAAAAGCATCGAACCGTGCGAACCGAAAACATGTCAACCACCGCCCGGTCCGCATCGAATAGCCGAATGCGAACCGACCTCCATCTGTGTCTTGGGGCTTGGGGTTTCCCAAATGATGTCTTCAAAAGTGTAGGACTATTTGGCAAGATCTGTGGCTGGAGAGTAGGAGTCATCCAAGACCTGGCAATGTTTTGGCCCGCGTCTGGAAAGTTTTGGCCCGCATCTGCAAAGATCCTTCAGCAGCTGCCCATATCATTTTTCAATCATTTCTTTGTTTGTGGCTTGGGTGCAGCAACTTCGGCCCGTTCCTTCAAGGAAGAGTGCCTGCTCATCTCTCCTTGCCCACCATGCCGCACAGAACGATCAAGAGGTGTTGCACAAAACAGAACTCAACCGAAAGCTGCGTAGTAAATATCGGGCCGGAAAATGTACAGTAAATCACCACTTCGTGCTGAACTGTGCTTAACAGAGACCACACCAAACCGCATCGTGGCTTTCATGTTGATACTATCCGTACTACTGCGCTCAGATTGTCAACTAAGGATCAATGAGTCGAATCCCCCCTCTGGGCTCCGGGCGCCAACCTCAATGAGATGCAGCTTTTTCGTTGCCTTCGTCAGCCACATCTATGTAATCATTTGAGTATGGACCAGCGAGACCGATCAAATGACAAAGAACGAAAACCAAAGAGGGTAAGCCTTATCCTACCTCAACAATGGCGTACACCTCAGTTTGCAGCTAGCTGTACTTCATTCCTTGTTGCTGATCAGGGTTTTCTGCTGGCACGGCTGTTGCTTCCACACTTCTCAGGTGCTTTGGAGGAAGCACAGCCCACGTCACGCGACTTTGAGAACATCGCGATTGTCGGCAAACATGGACAGCTGGCATTCGCTCCGTTTGTCACCAGCCCATGCCTGAGGAATCCCCCAAAGTACAGACTCATCCTGGTCCGCTCAGGTGGTGTTGATGAAGTGCTGTCTCGGGTGAAGGCTCCGACAGCGGAGGAGCAGCCGCACAAGCCCATAAGCACTCTGAGGACCCTATCTGCGTGCATCTTCAAAACCTCTACGCTCGTTGAGTTGGCAGTCTGGCCTCTTGTCTTTGAAGGTCTAAACTAAGCCATTACAAATAAGACAAGACAAAGATTACCTGACTGCTCTTGTGAGCTTCGGTACTGCGACCTGTTCCATACTCCTGTAACATCCTGACACCACATATGCCTCATATGCCCTTTTTGAAGCCGGACTGATGCCTATGGCGGGGATTGCCGGGATTACATGTGCAGCGCAGGAGATCGAAGGCAACCCCACGCTCTTTCGAACCACAAATGCCCTTCTTGCTGCAGCTCCCACACTTAAGACAAGTGATTCCCTGCAGCCCCTAATATCTGCAGGCCAGTTTCGGAGGCAGCCACTGTTCGTAGGGCCAGCTCCATAAAACAGAGATCGCAGTAGGGCAGATTGCACGCACGAACGACGTCGGAGACCTGCTGCAGGAGGGCATGTAACGAAACCACAACATCTCCGAGCAGCTGGTAATGGGCAGCCTTCTCTGGCACCGGTAACACTGCGATGCGCGGCGCGCTGTGGGCTGCTTGAAGCGGCAGATTCCAATGCACCTCGCCCTGCCATGGTGTCTCAGCAACGCCGATGGATTGGGCCAAGAAGCATCTTGCTGCACAGCTGCACCTTGCAGGCTAGTCGGTCTGCTAGTTGAAAGATCGGCCTGAGGAATGTCTGCATTTTAGCTCATGAATCTCCAGGATCAGAAGCTATGAACGGTGCAGTTGGAGGGCCACCGCGAAGTGAGCGGCACCATTGGAGGATGATTTGATGACAAGAAGTGCTCCTGGATGCACATTGGAGATGAACTCAACATAGCTGTAACTTCTGACTGTGCCACTAGGGATCTGATAAGATGTAAACAGCTCGCCGGATCAACCTCTCCTCGGTGAGCCAAGTGAGCAGGACTTCTAGGGCTCGACCCTCGGAATGCAATCATGCCACGGCTTCTCCAACATCATCCGGGGCTACTCGTGGGGGCCGAAGCACCTACAGGCGCACAAGGTTGAAGCATGCCATACCCTGGCTAGCACCTTAAAAGTCTTTGGCCTCGGCCAGTGAGAAAAGCGCCGTCGCACGGCTGAAGGGTGATATCCGGTCAGGGTAGGAAAGCAGCAGGCCGCTGGCCTCAGCGCACGGCAAAGAAAAGTGGGCTTGCTCGTTTGCATTGGCCACTGCTACGCATTGCCAACATGACCTGATGATTTTTTTGCCGGCCGTTGTCCATGCAAAGCAGCGATGCAGCCTAGTCACTTTGAACTTCAGCTAAGCAGACTGATTACATAAAGTTCTTCTTGGGTGCAGTAGAGCTATTGTGTATTTAATCAAAGACAAGCAGCAGCTGCAGGAATCGTCTTGCCTTCATCAAGGTGCTTCTGCACGATCTCCAAGTACGGCAGCTCCTAGGCACAAAGCACTCAACATGGGACAACCCCTCACCAGCTCAGGTGACCTTCAATGCTATTTCAGGGTCACTCATCCAGTTGGCTTCAGACCATGAGTTCAAGGGGTTCGCCACCCCAAGCTCGGTGTGAGCAGATGCCCTGAGCACAGCTGCTGAAAGACTTGTTTGACTGTAGTCAAATGCTGTGATAGCTGAAGGGCTCTAAACGAGCCAGCAGCCGGAAGAGAGGCCACCCCAGGTCAGCAACTTTGTGCCAGTCCAATGTGGAGGCCAGGTAGCGCACTACTTCATGAATCAGCACGCCTGAGCAGCAGCTTGCGTGCAACACTGGATAAAGATTGTTGGCTTTTGGCTTCTCACAGCTGCCTCGTGGCTTGACAAGCTCCTCTAGCAAGGCTGCTGCCTCAAGGAGTTCTACAGATGCGGCACGCCAATGTGGCCTCTGAGTTCTGCGGATTCACAGACAAGCGGCCTTCAAAGACATGAAGCCAAGCATCTTCAGCGTCATGTACCCAACAACACACTGATCCCTTGGACGGTTTGATTGGACATCTTCTGCACCAAATGGCTGTTTCACGCCCGGTGGGCAAACAAGACAGCCATACGGGACTCTTAGGCGAGGCACGCTGCCTGTTGAGACAAGGCCGCATCACTATCGATCTTCCTGCGGGGATTCTGCAGGCTTTGTGCGCAGGATTTCTTCACCCACGCCAAGAGCTGGAGCCTCCAGAGGCCAATCAGCTCCCAGTAGACGGGGGGCTCCGTGTCTAGGGTGATGTCTCCTAACCAGGGAGGACTGGGTCCGTGAAAGAGTGCTGAGAATCTGCCCTTCCCACTTGCCACTTCATTCAGCCAAGGGGACTCGAAGCCAAGTTCATGGCGGCATAGAAGGACCTGGGCAAAGCAGAGCGTTTTGCAGACAGACTAGCCTTGAGGCACCCATCAAAGACTGGAGGAGCTGCTGTGCAGCGGTTCTGGGTCTCAAGCAGGTTTCCTCTCACCTCTGCCCAGCTTGGCCCACAACCCGTGTGCCCGATGCAGTGCAGCAGTGCCGCCATGGGGGCAGCGGAAAACATGAAAGCACAAAGCAGTCGCGGCTGAAAACTTGTGAAGCTTGTTGCCAGGGAAACGTGAACCCTTGCTACTGCATCATTGTCAGCTCCAGGAAAGAGCTTGAAATGACATTTCTGGTTGAGCACTTGGTGTTGAATACAGGTTCAACCACCCTGGCTACCGCCTGCAAGCCTCGCAACTGCCTGTGACGGCACGCTGGCGGATTGCTCCCCGTCTTCTGTCACGTCAAGGCTTTGGTGTTTGCATGTTCGCCTTGGCTTTAGCAGGCCGGGCTCCCAGCAGTTCAGCGTGCTTGTCCTCACGGGGCTTCAGTAAGCTAGGCCGTTCCAAAATCACCTGGCTTCTGCTGCGTACTGACTGGCTGCCTGCAACAGAGCTAGAGCTTTTTGGCATCCACGCCTTAAGGCCAATCAATGTCACAAGCCATGGCTGCCAAGTGCACTTCTGGTCTTCGGGTCCGCTTTCTGAGCCGTTGGCAGCTGGGCCACCCGGGCCAAAAGCCGCCGCCATGCCTTCACGCAGGAGTCTTTTCATTAAACATGCCATGATGCCATGACCGGCATACTCGCACCAGCTGATTGCTGGTGGGCCTCGCGTTCTCGTGGAATCTTCTCCGCCCCGGCATTGTTGGCGTCATCTGAAAGCCAGACACCAACAAGAGCATGTACAAAGGCAGCCACTTCGCAACAGCCAGCTGCACCTGGCTCCGCATGCTCCGCCATCGTTGGCAGGGACACACTCGCTGATCTCACATTGCTGTCGCAATCTCAGAGTAGAGCTTCGCGCCTAGCTGTTGTTGAGCTGAGGTGAGGTTGGTTACTCAGTTGTACGTGGATCCGCTTGCTTGTCCACGTTAAGGCAGCTTTGTCATGACTCTTGGGCATCCCTTATTTTCTCTTGGCACGACGAATGGCCAGGCTAGACATGCTTTTTGAGCCTTTCATGTACCGAGGTGCTGCTTTCATTTTTGCATAAGACTGCGATGAAAGGACAGATGACTTCCAGCATCATGCTTCTTCTTGTTCTTAACTGTACAGCGCGGGGGTGCGGACGCAAAAGTGCACCTTACAGGCAGACAGCTTTAACGTTCTGCGAACATTCGGCGCCTTAGGCGCTTTCCTTCCTCACCGCATAGCACTTCAGAGGTGAAAGGTGCTGGCAACACTAAGATTAGGGCTTTACTTTGCTGAAGTGCGTCTGCTGCCCGAGCTTTTCTCGTGCAGGGAGGAAGGGAGGTATGAAGAGGCCTCTCTCTTAAACAAGAAGCCTACCACCTCAATTCCGACTGCCCAAGTTTGATCCTGGCAAACAAACTGAACGATAACTTATTCTGTTGGTGCCATTGCATGTATGCGAAATCGTAGCTGCCCCTCAATCGTCAGGCGCAAACTAACGAGCAGGCACAATACAGTGGGTTGGAGCTCGCGATCAGAAGCTTCTGACGCGGTCAATTACAGAGCTCGGAAGCTCAGTGAACATCTAGCAGTACAGATTTCAGCACAGTACGCCTTTTCAGCGACGAGCTACAAGCTTGCTGCCATGTAATTCCGGTTTCTGGAGGCTGCGCCCTCCAGCAAGTTTTGGACCAGCAAGCCAACACTGCAGTGCTGCTCAGCAGCATGCATCGTTCTGCGGAAGCCATGTGTAACCTCGGGTGAGAGGAAAAATGAAACGTCACGTGGCGCGCATTCGTATGTGTGTACACTCACTGCTTATGCTTACGCTGCGATGTGATCCCGGAGGCCCCACGTCTTGTGTCACACATCAGGACACGCTTCACGCTTTTAGAAGGTCCCACGGTCAAGTTGCTTAGGCTTCTGTCTGTGACGCGAGAGCTTCACTGTCACCTCCTCCTCGGGGCTGCTAAGCTCATACTGAAACTCTCTCTCTCCCTCTCACAGCGACTCAGGTTCCCCTGTCAGCGCCGAAGCCCGTTCTTCGAACTGAGCAATACAGAGTATCCTAAAACTGTTTCTGTCGTATGCCCGGCCCACACAATAAAAGTAAAGGCTGGATTCCAGTCTAGATGCCCGCATACTGTATGCTTGGATATCGGGAAGTAGCCCATCACGGATCAACAGGCTGCAAGAATAACAGCACTATGAGCTTTCTACACGGTCCAGAACAAGAAGGAATCGTGATGCCTAACAAAATCGGAATGTGTAGCAGAATGGTATAGAGTATGATAGATAGAATTAAGTTATCTCGTCATGCGGTATCATGTCAAGATGTCAACATGCGGGTGTGAGCTGAAGCTTCTGACTTCAAAAGTTATATTTCAGTTGTTTGTTACATGAACCTTCAGCCCCTCCCCCTTTCGACGCTTCAACGCGCTAGTCCTGGGAGCACATCCTCCTCAGCCAGCTCTGCAATGCCACCTTGCCAAGGACACGATGGGCACAAGATACGCACACAATGGGAAAAACCACCACTGGCAGTTGGGCCACGGGAGTTGGCAGGGAAGGGCTCCGTTTCCTCCACTTGTAGTCCCAGCGTGTTGAAGTCCTTGGCTGCTCCCCTCTCCGGGTTCTAGTGCAATGTGGCAAAACACAACAACTCTGCGGCATATCGCGGCATGCTCATCTCATACCGAGAAGCATCAGCATCCTCCTCATCCTCATCCTCAGATTCAGCAGATCACACTAAGTACATCTGCTCAAAATCTAAATCCACCTTAAAGGATTTCTGAGGCTAGCTTGGATCCATGATTTGTTCTGGCCCTGGCATTGCCGAGTTGCACGTCGCAACGCCTCTTCCCGAAGCGCGGCCAGTTCGGTACCTCAATGAAGCAAGATCAACAAACGAAGCAATCCAGCCTGGTTATGTTGCTTGCTTTTGGGTATCATGGGTATCCAACAACTTCCTCTGCCTGCCAGAAATCGAGCCCATCTTGCGTTCTTTCCTGAGCTTGGAACGCAAGACCTGGAACTCCTCCATGACCTCCACATGCCAGGCTCTGGGGTATTCCGTGAGCCCATTTGCTCATTACATGTAGCATGTGCATGAAAAGCGCTGTTAAACTTGCGCTGTTTGCCACAGTAGACTGCAAACCCTGCACAAGGAGCGCAGCACCTTGTTCCCGTTGGCGTTGAGGGTTTGCTGCACCATCGACTGCGGCACCATCAAGTCATGTTTAAAGCACAAGCCAGTGCCTGTGTCAGATGTCGATTTCTCGAAACGCCCTTTTGCGCTTGTCCAGCTGGCATCTTCTCTTGTCTGAGCACATGTGCCCTGCAGCGTGCCTTGATGACACGAGCCTGCTCCTTGACATCCTGGTTTTGCTTTGCTGAAGCTCCGCAGAAGTTTATGTCTTAGTGTCCTGATGCCTTGCTCAGTGCCCCGGACCCGTCCTTCACGGTGGCCGTATTCTTGCCACGAAGGTTGAGGATGGTGTCCACCAAGTTCTCGAAGGTCATATCTTGGAAACACGAAAGAGGTCAAACTGGATGCCGCGCGTGCAATGGCCAGTCGATAACGTGGAGGTCTATGGAGGACAAGCGGCTTTTCCCCATCTTATTCATGTCCTCGTAGATGACCTGATCGCTGGTGGCATTATTCTCGCCTTTGCTGCCCTTGGCCTTCGTGTCACTGAACATCCATGCTGAGGCCGGAGCATCGGCCGTATCCACAAGCCTTGCATTTCTGCTTAGCTAAACAAACCTGTTGAATTCAGCTGCTGGCTTGCTTTGCCAAGCAGCGCTACAACGTCGACGCCCATCCCGCTTAGAAGACGGTCCACCCTCAGCACATTCAGCGGCTCATCATGCAGCAGCTCAGCACACTGAAAGGTGATCTGTGCGTGAGACATACTGTATCTTGCCAATCTGCCCAAAGACTCCCGAGGCTTGAAAAGGTGGCCGAAGCTTTCTCTAGTCATGACCATCAACTGGCCACTGCAGGTAACAGAAGCTCCTGACAGGAAGCCTCTGAAGGACAGGTTGTACCCCGTATATCCCTTATCCTGCCCTGGCGAGTTAACCCGCGGAGGTGCCCCGCAGAGAGGTGAGGCAGGCCACGAGCTACGTCCATAAACAAAAGACAGAGAGGGGGGGGGGGTGAAGTCTGTGATT